CCTCCCCTAATTTCTCTCTGTCATTAGGTATCTCATTTAAATGAATGTCGTGTGCCCTACCCTTAATTATTATTTAATATATATAATTTATAGATAGATATCAAAACATTTGACAACAAAAATTACTTGAATTTTTCACTCATAAATATTGGTTTTAAGATGAGTTTTCAAAAACAGTTACTAAAATTGGTTGGAATTTTTACACATAAATAATTGGTTGAAATTTGCATTACCATAACTGGTCTTTAAATAAGTTTACTTTTATATTTTTATTAAACATATAAATTTAAAAAAGTAGTTATTCTTTTACATAGTTATATATGGGTTTCAAAACTATAAGTTTAAATCTACATGTCTATTAAATATATTAACTTGAAAACTAATTTTATTGAGATGCTTTACGAATTTTATTAGTATAAAAGTATAGGTTTTAATGTTTGAGTAAAGATTTGATTTTCATACCAACAATTATTTTGCATTTTAATTATGATTCTATTTTGAATTACAAACGATTATTAAAACACAAAAAAAAACTAATATTTATAAGATCCATTTGCGAGGTGGTATTATAAGTGCAAATGGTCAATTAAGATTTATAGTCTAACATGTTATTGATGAGAATAATTTTAATTTTATATTTCAATTTACTTTATAAATTCAATAACTATACTTTGAATTTTTATTAGTATAAAATGTAATGTATCATGCCTTTGAATGAAAACATCATTTTCAAATCTACAATCATAATAATGCTCTGTTTTATTTTTAATGTATAAAATACAATTTTCATGTGATCATGGCCATTTTAATTTATATAAAAATTAAATTAAAATTAAAAATTAATTTGAACTAATACTAATTCCCAATTTATTAATAAAATAATTGCAAACTTTGTTATATTTGGATTTCAATTGTTATTTAATCACAAAATTTTTGAAACTCTGAAAATTTAATATTTCATTATTCTCTTTGTAAGGTGCTATTAAAATTACATACAACTTTAAAATTCAAAATTCAAATTTTATTAATGAAAGCAATTTTGGCCAGTCACTTTTACAATAAATAATTTTTTATTTTTAAGCTCACATATTAATTTGACCACCGGAAGTGGTGTGTGCAAACAATTGATGAACTATGTCATCAATGTATCAAAGGATGTTATGGTCTTTTAGCATAAAAATAGCATGAAAATTATTCGTGTATTGTACGACCCATAAAATTGCATTTACTGGAATGTCAAAAGTTTGCTTTATGACATGCACCCGCATATTCATAGTGTAGAATTACTCCCCAGTGAGGTATTTTTTAGATAAAAAATTGAGTGATCACTTAAGAATGACCAGAGATATATTTAAGAAAATATATAATTTTTTAATATCTAAATATTTAAATCTAACTATCCAAAAAGTATATTGTCAATATTAGGACTTGTTTTTCTTGACTATCATGTGGGTGGTCAATATTGTTTTAAGGGATTGCATACAATAAGACCGGCTACTTTTGATACATTGGTGGTCACAATTACTTACAATTATCCAATCTGAAGTTTGAGCTTGATCAATAGAATAAATGCATGCACCCAATTTCATGACCAATGGTCAAGATTAATTGTGACCAATTTGTGTCAAAGTTAAATAATCTCATTATGTATTTTTCCTTATTTCAAGGAGATAAAGACAATCCCTAAAATTTGAGCTACTCCAATGCACATTTTTACCCTAGGGATCACACACCTCTTCATACACCTCCAAGGAGTATGTAACTGTTGAGGTATTTGTTTTGGACAAGCTTTTTATGCTACCCCTACAGCATCGAAGTTCTATCCTCCCCCTTATCCAACCATCCATTCTGAATGGAGGGCTAAGATTGCCTCAATCACAATGTCACGTCTTACACTATTTTATTTTTAATTTTTTTCTATAAACTATTTTGATGCTAAATTTTGGACGTCCATTCCTCTATTAAACTCGCACTAGCGAAAAAATATAAGAAAGATATTTTCAATAAAATAAAATAACCAAAATACCCTTGAAAGTTTTAAGGGGTATTTTGATCATTATATTTAATCGAAAAATTATTTTTAATATTTTTTATAGGTGCGCCCCAATGAGAAGTTGACACATACCAAATTTCATATTCATACAATTTGTATAAAAAACAACTAAAAATAAAATACTTTGAGATGTCGGATCTAAGATCAAATGGTGAGTGACTCTCTTGATAAAAATTGGACGGCTGGAAGGTAGGGAGAGGATAGAACTTCTATCCTGTAGGGGAAGCATAGGAACATTTTCCATTTGTTTTAGCTAATATTCTAATACAAGCCTCCTAAGGTATTTCTTTTGCGTAGATTAAATTAGAATTAGAATAGAATTAGATTATATAGATAAGATATATATAACTAGCATTCTTTCCTCAATGCTTAAACATTTCCCTACAGATACAAGGAGATACGACCATTGGATGACACCGGGTATTTCAAAGGTGGGCGCAAATATCTGGAGATGTAATCGTGTTGTGTGGTATTTGGAAGGAAAGAAATAAAAAGGAGTTTGATAGGATCTGCACGGACATTTCATCCTTGCTTTGGCAGCGAATTGGTTTTCTTGACACAAGGATTGTAGATTCATCCCAAAAATCCAAATCATTACTTATCTTTGCGGCGGCGACTTGTCTGTTTGCTTCTAGATCGAATCGAATTGCTGCTATCTAAACACCACTACTTCCTAATTCAAACAAATTGAACTTTGAATCGAATTGCTGTTATCTAGACACCACTACTTCCTAATTCAAACAAATTGAACTTTGATGGAAGTTTTTCAGAAACACGGGTTCAACTAGCTTTGGTGGATTGATAAAAGACCGTAATGGGCACATTGTTTGTTCATACTCGGGCCCATGTGGTATCACCACTATGTATGTAGAATGCTCCAAATCTCATAAAATATAACAATCAGCGTTCAAGGTATATTAGCTTCGCCTTTACTGCATGCAATAATGTTTGCAGATTCACTTTCTATGATCTTACCTCCCTCAAATCTTACTAGAAGCTTAATGCCTTCCAAAAGACCTCTAACTTCTGTTTCATTTATGGCACGTTTGGCTTGTGTCGCGTGAAAAAATTATATTGTGGCTAAATGTGGAAATATTTTCACACGAATTGATATTAGTGCATCTTTTCACACCAATTGACAACTAAATAATATAAAAAAACTTCCACACTTAACCGCACGAGATAATCCAATTGACAACTAAGTAATATAAAAAAACTTCCACACTTAACCGCACGAGATAATTTTTTCATGTGAAATTGTTTTTCAAACAAACCAAACAGCCAAACGTGTTATAAATGTTGTGCCATTGCTACCGGTAGGCTAATGTAGAGGCCTGTGTCCACCGACCATCGTTGGCGATCAGCTGTGAATACTGTTTGTACCACCTGTAATGATGATTTCTTAATGAAAGTTTTATGTTAAACGTTCAAAAACAAAAACCCAATAAAGGCCATACATTTGTCGTCTCAAAGTCTATATTTATCTTCTCACCTAAATTATGCTTTTGTTAGTATTGGGTATAAAATTTCGCCCAAAAATAGAATATAAAAGAACGAAAAAAAGAATATGCAACTCCTGATCTCCTAATAGCTCTAAGTCTATCCCATCCATGTGATTGAGCCTCAGTGTATCAACTATGCTCCAATAGGAGCATATACTTTGCACATACTCCATATTTGGAATACCTACTTAGGAGATTACCTTAAATTTTTTTGAGAACCACTGAAGAATCAGTAAAAACTCATTTTAAAAAAATAAATAAATTTTTTGTTAAACAAACACTTAGATTTCACCCTCCAAAAATTGTAGTCTCTGTTCAATCTTGAGCCATTGTTTTTTCCATTGAATAGAGTGAGATTTAAAATTTTCTTTTGTTGAGGTTAGTCTATGGGTTACAGAAGTTTCATCTCTAAAATTTGGGGTCTTAAATTACTCCTAGGGGAACATTAAATCTTTTGGACTGAAATTTTGCATTTTGCTCCTATAGAACAAAGTACCATTGGTCAGAAGTGCAGTACCTTGTGAAAGAGGGGAAGTGGCGAGAGAGACAGAGAGGAGGGAGTTAGCAAGTTAAACAACATTGAAATGAGAGAGAGAGAGAGAGAGAGAGAGAGAGAGAGAGAGAAGGGGATTTCATGGTATTTTTCATGGTAAAACTGAATTTCCAGAGACAAATAAAAGCAATATTAAATGGACATCACTGACACATTTGCTCATTCCAATATTTTGAATGAGAAGCAAAATTCTGACATTCCAAAATCTTCTAACAAAACTGTATTTCACCCATCATCTGTAACCGCAAAGGCATCCTGGTAGACAGAACTTAAACAGGTTTTTTTTTTTTTCCCGAGTGTAAGAACAAATATCCAGTTTCACAAATACAGGCGCAAATTTTAACCACTCAAACCGCATTATTTTTCATCATATATCTCAGGAAATTGACCCATTTATTTGATTCCAAATCCAATTATGTCAAACGAAGAGTAAAAACCCTACGCCTTTCCAGAAATCTTTTTAAAAAACTCTCTTTCCACCATTCTTAATTGCACAGGCATCTTCAAATTTCAAACCTGCATGCATCAACCATGACGCCGTTGAATGAGCAAATGCTGAATAGTACTTTCAATGTTCATAAATAAAAACATAATGACAGATGCATGATTTTGTACACAAAAACAAAAATATAATGACAGATGCATGATTTTGTACACAAAAACATCGATGCATAAAACATAAATGCGTGGACACATGAATGCATGAGGTTATCTTACATACATTAGTGTCTTAAATCATGGACTCAGGTCTGAACCCATGTCATGCAACTCGACTCAGCCAAGTCTTGAAAAAACTAACAAAAACCTTGGGAAGCGGCAAGATTCAGCCAGTGCCCAATACTTTTCCCTCCTAACTCAGGAAGCTACCAATTCCGTGTAACTCAGTGAGCCTGAGAAACTTGACTGAATCTGAGTCAGACTCAGCGAGTTGTAAATCACCGATGTACATGATGCAGATGACTCATGCATGGTATAAGCATAATAGTAATGGCATACAGCATGTGTGCACCTAAGAAGCCACCCCTCAATCCACACTCCCAAACAGGTAAGCCAAAACATCATGGTCAGATTCCTTAAAATTGAAAAACGCATTTTACCAAATCCCAAAGATCTAAATGAAACATGTGGCTCCCCAATATCACAAGTGAAGCAACTTATATATTGTTCAAAATAAATCACATAAAACGATTAGCAAATTGGAAAGCAAAAACAAAACAGAGGTGTCTAGTATCTGGTTTTCTGTGGCACTCCACTGTCCGTTCACAATAACTTATGTAAAAAATTAATATACCCAAACCTATGTTATGTCATTAAGATATACGGTTGACCTCCACTATCTATTATCAGAAGCATACTCTCACACTTTACAATCATTATTGCACTGGATAATATACTTGCCATCACAACATATGAGCAAAGCATCATCATTTGCCAATTAATAGGGGTTGGCCACATTAATCTCGATCCACCATTCTGCTCTATTAAGGGCAATACCCTGAGATATGAGCAAAGCAAAAACTGAAATAACATAGCATGGACAACCCATATTGAATAGATCAAGAAAATTCATTGCACTTGACCAAGGGCCTAGCGTGATCGAGTTTGGACAAATTTTATATTCACTTCACCTCCTAAACATCCACAATAACCTGCCTGCCTCCTTCCCTCCCTCCTTAACATGGACACTTCCCTTGTCACTGACTGTTAAAATACATGAGACATACAGGAGAGAATGTTTTTTGACTGTTACAAGTGCCCCCGATAATTCTCAATATTATAATCAGTTAACATGACAAGTTAAACATCAAACAGAATAAAAGCCAAGGCATTACACCGAGTATTACCAGATAGCCAAGGGAAACTGGCCTTCCAGAAATCTGCTCTGAACAGGCAAGGATTGGCAAATCGGACTGATTCTCGGTGTGAGAATTGATCCATAAAAAAAAATGAAAAAAGTAAAAAAAGGAAAACTAATAAAAAAATTTGATGTAGACGAACACACTACAAAATTTTAATGTAGAGGAAAACACACATGCGTGTGCACGCACGCACACACAAACACAGATTTTATTGTAGAGGAACATAGTAAAAACTTTTAATGTAGAGGAATACACACACACACATACAAGAGGATCCCAGGTGGAGATTGGCAAACATGCAGGAAAATGCACAAATCAGCTATCAAAATCAGCCCTTACGAGTTGGGCCCAGCCAAGTGAATACCATTCGATATCACGCTCATGTCAGATACTTCAGCACTTCCACAAAAATGGAATATGAAGCCTGAAACTCGTGTTCATGAGATACCAATACTTCTTTGAAAATCAATTGAAGAGGGGCGACCATTAAGGTATGTTTAGGTATCCCTTAAAAGGATTGAAAGTGAGCAGCAAGAGTTCTTAACTTCACTTGAATAAAACAACTTAGACTAGTTAAAAGCAAGTAAAGAGAGAAAATGCCTAAAACCAAATAGGAATCTTGAGGCTTTCAAGCATGACAATCTATACATCTTTACATGGTATGATATTATTAATTAGATACATCTTAATATACTATTCTTGTTTGGAAAAAAATAAAAACCAAATACAAATGGTTATATCCAAGATGAATATTCAAGTTAGTTACATTTTATTATATTTATGAATTGTCTTATTTTATCATTTTGTTACTATTAAAATTTATTTTTCTCTATATTTATCTGTATAAACTATTACAAAGTAGCATATCCATGTTCATTACATTTTCCAAAATAGAATCCCCTGTTATTCCAACTACAATGTTAGCACTAAGATCCAAACTGTTATTATGTTTTATAAGTGACTTCTGATTAAAATATTAAACTAATACAAATACAAAGATAAAATAGGTGAATAGTCAATAGACTCCATGCCATCGTAAAGGCAGATGGATGAAATACCAAGTAGTAAGTCTGTTGAATCTATTTTCTTCAGTCAAAGATTCAAGTCACTTGATACTTATACAAATATATCCAACACCTTGCTAATCATGTAGATCTCATCCAAAACATTGCAATCTTCCAAGGCTGTAACTCTTTTCAAATTCATCAGATCACCTCCCACTTCAAGGAGCTTGTCATATAGAAGCGGATAAGGCCCAATTAAAAGGCTCTTGTGTTTGTTCCATTCCTACCACAGGTAGGGGAACCCTTTCCCACTGATCTACCCAAAAAAAAAACTCTCGCATCCGCTTCAACAGAATCAAGAATGGGCGTGGTGGTCCTCTAGATGCTTTCAACCTCTCCAATCCTAATAAGATCCCCTGGCTTCCAAAGGCTCAGGTATCGGTGACATGGACCATTGAGTTTTAGGTCTGGACCTCATCACTCTCACTCTGTACAGGTAATCCTCTAATTCCAAACCAAATTGAGGCCTCAGGACTCTTCCCCATTCAATGCTCATAAAATGCTGGACAAACCAATTTGCTTGAGCAGCTCTCATTGGCATGAATTCACATCTAGTAATATGTTCCCTCAAAGAGTCCTCAGAAGACAGCCACGAGACCAATCTTCCATACGCTTCTCTATCTTTCAACAATTGGGGTCAAACCACAAAATTAGATTTGTGATGATGCAAGCATTATCCATGAGGGGAGGAGATTCAGCTGGTTGGGATTCCTTCAAGGTTAAGAGCTGCTCCTGATCTTGCAAGATTGTTGGCTTCAGAGTTAGCTTCCCTCCAAATGTGATTCCAAGAAACCTTGAGATTACTGCAGAGACTGTGGATTCGATAAAAAATGTAAAGGAGCCTCCACGGACAGGCTGAGGAGTTTTTTGCCCATGAGACAACATTCCTTGTCTCCTTCGATGATCAAATTTGGCCCCCAATCGATGTTGAACAGCCTGAGGCCCTCTAGGAGAGTAAGAGATTCAGCAGTGGTGGAATCGGTTATGCCAATTGGGGATGAATAGGAGGAGAGAGGTTCACCTAAAAAATGCCCGCTGGGCCTGGTTTGCCAAGCGAACTGCCATCAAAGTTTAATTTGGATTGCCCTATCTCGGGCGGCCTCCAAAGAGATCCACTACAAATGCTGGATGGCCTCAGGTGAAGCATCTCATTCCAGTTGTGAAGAAAATTGGCGGAGCTAAAATGTCTGAAAGTGCCAAGGTTAGAGGCCCAGAAAACACCAAGGGAAAGATGTGGTTGCTCATGTCATTCAGGCTGGATCTGGTCCTGGGGAAGATGCGGTTATCTCTCTCCGTCCAGGTGACCCACAGGGTAGCTGCCAGTAACGCTTTCCATAGGAGGATCCCTGAGGTGAGCCACGGATTGGGAAGAAAGGAGGTGAAGATGTGGGGTACCGAGGAAGGGGTGACCCACCTCAAATGGAAGAGCATAAGAATGGATCCCCACAGTTCGTATGCTAGTGTGCAGTGGAGGAATAGGTGATCATTGGTCTCCTCCTCCTCCAGAAACATAATGTATATGTTGGGGAGAGGGATGCCTCTACGCTGGAGTAGGTCTACAGTAAGGAACCTGCGGGCTATGGCCAGCCAAGAGAATACCTGTATCTTGGGAGGGATGAATGAGAGCCAAGCTTTGGAGCAAGCAGGTTGGGCTCCAGCAGCTGTAACGCACCACAGAATACAGTCACTGGCCGAGGAGGGTAAGGGGGAGGAGTGAATAAGGGTGGAGAGGGACAAGAACTCTGAGATTTCTTCCACCCTCAAAAGTCTTCTGAACATAGGATTCCAGGATCTGGAGTAGCCCGTGGTTTCGAAAAGGTTTGCAACAAGAGCCCGAGGGTTCCGGGCCAGGAGAAACAGCCTAGGGAAGAGGGTTTTAAAGGGTGAGTGGCCAACCCAACAGTCAAACCAGAACCAAATTCAATTCCCTTCCCTCGGGTGGAATCCAATGTTGGCACAGAAAATAGAGTGACACCTGATGACTGATCGCCAGAAGCCCGAAGGGTGACTGGACGAGGGGAAGGAAGGTGTCCAGCTACAAGGATCGCATCGATACTTGCGGTGAAGGACAGATTGTCACAGGTGGTTGTTTAGGGTAGCTAGTCTCCACCACCGCTTGCCTAGGAGGCCGAGGTTGTTGAGCCTGAGAATGTGAACACCAAGTCCCCCTTCACTTTTTGGTCGGCAGATTCTTTCCCATGAGACGAGCCGAAACTTGTTTGTCCTACCCTCACCTGAACATTGAAAGTTCTTCATCAGTTGATCAAGACGTGATGCTACCAACGCTGGCATGTGGAACATAGACATTTGGAAGATTGGGACATTAGATAACATGGCTTTGATCAGGGTAACTTTTCCGCCAGGTGAGAGGAACCTTCCTTTCCACCCAGCCAACCTACTATCAAATTTGTCTATGATGTGGCTCCATTGGCATTTCTTAGGCTTACCCAGGTATAAAGGAAGACCAAAGTAAGTGGATGGGAGTTCTTTGACCTGACAGCCCCATCTTTCAGTCAAGCAGTTGATGGTTGGATCGTCGGTACAAATCTCCATCATCTTGGTCTTCGACATATTGATTTGTAAGCCAGTCGGT